GCCTCACAGCATCAGCTGATCAGATGGGGCTGGGCTCAACTTCCCTTGTGGGACAGGACCACTACAGGATATCAGACTAGACTGACCAGAAGCACCTAGGAGCTCCGAAGTTCTTCTTGGTGCACAGGATAGTTCAGTCTGGTAACAAGTGTGGGATTCCAGTGCACTAGAAACTGGTTCACACCCATCCGCTTGCAGTCCGGTGATTCCCTCCCTTTTAGGCCAGTATTTTATTTCAGCTGCATGAGTCTCTTTAAATTACCACATTCCTCCCAGCCCTTCCTTCCTATCTGCTTAAACAGAAAGTAACCCGCAAAAGCTGGGCTCATAACTAACATCCTGGTCCAGTCTCTCCAGAACAAGACAGAAACTCACGTGACAGAGCGGATTCACGAGGGCCATCCTTAGAGATAACAAGCAGCTTTTGGCATGTGTGTGTAAACAGTCTGATGGGCTAATTAATCAGGACTTCGGGGATTACAGAGTGACTTGAAGCATCATTTTAGAACTGGGCTGCTGGCACAGAATCGGCAGTTTGCCCACATGACTTAAAATAAAGATGTCAAAGATTTTTCTGACTTTACAGGGATTTTTTTTTTTAATTCGTCCCTCAGCTCAAGGCTCATGTTCGATCACAGACCACGTCAACATCAGCAGAGTTAGGGTTCTGAGCAGCGATCTGTACATATTAAGTGGACTGTTAAGTGGAATTTCCTTGCAAAGGAAATAAACAGGTTGTTTCCTCTTTGTGGCTTCTTTATGACATCTGATGACCTCAACTGTGTTATAAAACTAAAGTTTTCTTTGTTGATTGCTTTTCACCTTTGGTAAATCAAGTCTGCCCCGGAAGACCCAGAGAACTGGAGTGGGAGCCTTCTCTGCCCTTAACTGGAAGGGTGAGGATGCTGAATCTTTGGGTACGTCTTCACTACCCGCCATATCGGCGGGTAGCGATCTATTTATCGGGGATCGATATATCACGTCTTGTTAAGACGCAATATATCGATCACCGAACGCGCTCCCCGTCGACTCCGGAACTCCACCAGAGCGAGCGGCGGTAGCGGCGTCAACGGGGAGGCCGCGGACGTCGATCCCGCGCCGTGTGGACCCAAGGTAAGTCGATCTAAGATACTTCGACTTCAGCTACGCTATTCACATAGCTGAAGTTGCGTATCTTAGATCGATCCCCCCTCACAGTGTAGACCAACCCTTTAACAAAGATTTTCCTCCTAACGGTTAGTTGTATGTTGGAGTTAAATAAACCAAAGAGTTTAAAAACCCA